TATGTTAAAAGCGTCTCACAATGTAGTCCTTAGAAGACTTGATAAAAATTTGGCAGTATGACAGCTCAGCTAAAGACATTTCCAATGAAACACTTTCCCATGTTTCTCTGAAATGCTTATATGTCAAAAGTTCACCTGGCATGGAAAGTTACCAGTAGCTTTTTCACTGAATTGTTGCTACCATCTTCCTACAGAATGGGGCTGCTTCTTGACAACTTTTTTTTAGTTAATGTTTTGCCTTCATCACAGCCAAAACAAAAATGCAAAAATCACTTACTTGTTTTCACAGGAAGGGAGAATCACCTTTAAGACTTTGATAATAAGAGCTGCTCCAACAATTCCAACGACAACAACTTCCATGAAACTAAACAAGATGGGTAAAGATCGGAACCAGAATCTGCACAATCCTTTTCTCAAGTCTTCCACCCACTGGCACATCACCTACAGTCAAAGAGGTGAAAAAAGACAGGCTGCAAAACAAAGCATTGCTGGTTTTGTAGCTACTGGTGATACATGTAGTTAGGCATGGTGGTAGTTTTACTTGAAATTATGTATCCGTAAACATACATAAAAGCAGCATGGAATTGACTGGTAACTTGGATCTCCTTCTTCAAAGTTTGAAACAGGTGAAGGTTTAGTTCTCTGCTCATCGTAGCAGAGTTCTCTGAGAGGCCACTTTGGAAAATAAAAGACACTTGAAAGGAGAAGGTGAAGGGGCAGCTGTTTGGCCATAGAGAGCTATGATACCATGGCAGTGTACAGCAGGGAAAGGGTTACTGCCAGCCCAGGAGAGGGATAACACCCTCTCTAGCCTATCTGTAACTTTCAGCGGCCCTCCTGTCTCAGCAGCAGGTTATAATTATGTTTGTTCCGGCCACAGAGGAGGCCATCAAGCCCATCCTTACCTATGCTGAAACTTCTAAGGCTGCTACAATGTTTCTTACAGCAGCTGAGACCAATGGCCCATCTTTCAGAGGGGTAAGCACTTGCACTGAGTCAGGAAAAAAATGATGTAATTTAAAGCCAAGCAAAATTTGAAACTGTGGTAAATGCTTAGCTTGGTATAATGTAAATATCACAACTGACTATCATGAAGTGAGATCAGAACATTGCAGGATTTAAAAGCCCATTTGATTCCTACTGGAGTAAAAAATTCCAACACCTTATTACTGCTAAAAGGTAATTTAGGGTTTTTTTTGGTTGGTTAGCTATTTTGATAGTTTGGGGGGGGGGGGGGTTGGTTGTTTTTTGGTTTTTTTTTTTTAAGGTTCCTAGAGGTCCACTGGTGTTAGCAGTTTGCTCTCTTTAAAGGTATTTATACTAATAGTTTAAAAAGCAGACAAACCACAAAAGTACCTTGTAAGAAGATGGAGGTTCTACCCTAAGAGGGGTCTCTGGTAACTTGCCAGGTAATGTCTCTTCATCTACTGTAGTCTCTACTTGCCGGATGAGGTACTGACTGGTAGTTTGCAGTGGATCTTGAATATCTGAGGAAGAAAAAGCTAGATTCAGTGGAGAGCTTTCTTTTTATTTGGCTCACTATTCAGAAAAACAAAGACATGGTGTATTTCTATTACTTACGGTATGGTTCTTGCACATTCACACCAAGAACACAGAAGACTGACTACCTTTTTTTCAACTTGAGCAATGAACTTGATAAGCCAAAGCAGTGTTACAGTGCTGCCTTCAGCTATGCCCTTAGCTGTAAATTTCAGCTGTCATCAGATTAAAAAGCGATGAACTACATCAAAATATTAATCTCTGATTAAATCCTTGAGAGTTTATGATTAAACAAAACTGAAGTAAGATTAAGGCATCAAATAACTTCTCTTGCTTTTAAGTTATTCAAGTTTAATAACATAAAACTGTTCTCTTGTTTTGGAAATGACCCAGACAGGTATTTCCTCTACAGTTTTCTCTTTCATTCTCAGGAAGAAAGGGGAACTTTAGAGAAACTTCCATCAGATCTGAGAGAAAAATTTATTCCTGTCAGATGTCTGGATTGCAGACAGCCAAGTATCAAGTGCTTCAAAGGAGAACAGATTTGAAAACAAACAAACAAAATACCTAGAATGTAGAAGAGTTGAACTTAGGTGTTTAAAAAAAAATAACCAAACCACATAAAACAATTTCCTGTCAATGAAGAAACTGTTTCACTATGTAAAACACGGGAACAATGATGCTCTTTTACCCCTGCAAAGCAATACATCAGCTATGGATGAAAATATTATGTAGCAACTGAGAGAGATACCTTTTCCTGAGAGGTTGGGCAGTGTAAATAACATGTCATTGTCCCTTGGGATGGAATACAGCATGCTCTCTTTCAAAGGAACAGTGTAGTTTGAATGTCTAAGTACTCTCAGGTCCTTTACTAAAATATCTATTTCTGTTACGTCTTCTTGCTGAACCTGCAAGAGATGCAAACGTTGATATTACTGAGTTTAAAGTAAAACTGAAACTAGCTGAAAGAGAACACCGATACATCACAGAAAACTCCAAGCCATTAAGGTGTAGACAGAGGGCTGTTATAACATGAATTAGTATTCTTTGTTTTCACATACCACACTTCTGTAGACTAAGTCACCCTAGAAAATATGCTGAACAGACTGTCTCTCTCTCCTTGCAAAAGCATGTGGTAGTCACTCCATGGGCTTGTTACCAAGTCTTGCATAGTTCATTACTATCCTCTCTCAGGTAGGCATTTTAGGGCATGGAAAACTCAACTACAAGTGAAAGCAGTTGTGAACATTGAAAGTGTTGCTGAGGCAAGACTGACATTTCTGCTTTTGCAGTAATGTTTATTTTTTTCCAACAACTGAAGGCAAAGTATCACAGCATTCGACAGTGTCCTGCTTGACAGCCTTGCCTCTAAATTAGAAAACTGGATTTGACAGATGGACCATTCACTGGATAAGGAATTGGTTGTATGGCCACACTCAGTGAGTTGTGGTCAATGGCTCAAACGCAGACCAATGACAGGTGTTGTCCTCAAAGGTCAATATTGGGACAGGTGCTGTTTAACATCTTTGTCAGTGACATGGACAGTGGGATCGAGGGCACCCTCAGCAAGTTTGCTGATGACACCAAGCTCTGTGGTGCACCTGAACATGCTGGAGGGAAGGGATGGCATCCAGGGGGACCTGGAGAGGCTTGAGAGAGGGGCCTGTGTGAACTTCATGAAGTTCAACAAGGCAAAGTGCAAGGTCCTGCACTTGGGTCGAGGCAACCTCAAGCACAAGTGAAGGACTTGGGGGTGTTGGTGGATAAAAAGCTCCATATGACCCAGCAATGTGGGCTTGCAGCCCAGATGGCCAACAGTATCCTGAGCAGCGTGGCCAGCAGGGCAAGGGAGGGGATTCTGCCCCTCTCCTGTGCTCATGTGAGACTGCTTTTGACTTAAAGGAACAATTAAGGAAACAGTGTTAGCTTTCTGGTTGTTTTTATCAGGTCCCTATGAAAATCTGAAATGCACTGAGATGTCTAGTTTGAGATCTGAAATACACCACCACTACTGTGTAACAACTGAGTCAACCAGGATATATTAGGCTCCTACCAGTGGGATACATGCCTCATTAGAAAAGCTACAGACCTCTCAGTGGGGCTTTTAATTAAAAGAGTAGAATTTTGACATGATACAGATTGCTGTAAAAATACTACATGCTGAGCATGAAATAATTATGGATCAATGGTATTATCCTTTAAAAAAAGAAAAAGGTAGCAAAACATAAGCCAGCTCCAAAAAAGCCTGGCCACACGTAGGATGCAGACATGTACAGAAAAAAAATACGATGCTGTTGCTGGCTTCAGCAGCTGGATCTTTTCTACAGATCCTCTTTGGTTAGTAAATTAACTATACCTTACAAGCAATTTTGAGAGTTCTGCACATTTCAAATGTGCAGCTGGAATGGTAACCCCTCACACTCACTGGTATTTGTACAAATACAGTTAGAATTGGGCGGGGAGGTGTTAGTTCATCTCAATTCGAATCTTGAAAATGAACATGGGTTTTATCTTACACGCAAAATATTCTAAGGCTAAGCTCTCGGGTATTAAGCCCACCTGCCATAAGAGTTTGCTGCTGCAAGCTGTTCCCCGTGGTATGTGCTTGAAACCCTTTGTTAGCTTGGAATAACAATGGGGAAACTCTC